TGCCGCTCCCCCTGTGGGAGTGCACTGACCACCAGGGGGCAGCTCCTGCGTTGAGCGTCTGCCCCCTGGTGGTCAGTGCACATCATAGAGACTGGTGGTTCCACAGTTCGGTCAATTTGCATATTAGCCTTTTATTATATAGGGTAGAATTATATTGTATTATTATATATTCATATTTTAAGTAAAATATCAGATTATATAAATGAAAACAAGCTGCATTTACTAATGATTTTAAATATTATAGTTGATTTATGGAGTTCTATTGATATGCCAGGTATTACACAGAGCACTTTACAAATCTCTTATTTAATCCTACATCAAGAGTAGAAAAGTAGCCCTAACCGGTTTGGCTCAGTGGATAGAGCATCGGCCTGCGGACTGAAGGTTCCCTGGTTCGATTCCTGTCAAGGGCATGTACCTTGGTTGCGGGCACATCCTCAGTGGGGAGTGTGCAGGAGGCAGCTGGTCAATGTTTCTCTCTCATCGATGTTTCTAGCTCTCTGTCCCTCTCCCTTCCTCTCTGTGAAAAATCAATAAAATATATTTTTAAAAAATTAAAAAAAAGAGTAGAAAAGTAGGTGCTACTATTATTCCTGCTTTATAGGAGAGGTGATAGACTGTGAGTGTGTGTGTGTTTGGTGGTGCCTTAAGTATCTTCCCTGTGCTCATGCCAGGTTTGAACCTATGTGTGTTAGACTCCAAAGACAGAGTTCTGATTCTTTAAGCACCACTGTTGCTCTCGCCATTTATTTGCTGAGCTATTCTCCAGGCTACCAGTTACAAGCTCTTCATCCCTCCAAGGGGCTTGGATATTGACTGTAATGGTAAGTGTTTGTTTCCTTTGTCTTATTTATTCCTCTCAACAACTCTGCAATGTGACTCCTCATATCCTCATTGACAGCCAAAGAAACAGGCTCCGGGAGATGAAATCACACAACCGTTCCGTGGCAGACCCAAACTGACCATGCGTTCAACTCCCAAGTCCTTCATCTTCTTTCCTCTTTCCCACGCCCATGCCCATCCAGTCATCACCCACCCACCGACTCGGAAACCTCTCTCCTGTGCAGGCAGCAGGACAGCTACCAGGGTGAGGCCATGCCAACAGCCCAGCCTCCTGGTCATGCATGTGTTGGAGTATAATTGAAGGGGAAGAGGACCAACCAATGAGTCAATGGCTGGGCTCTCTTAGGAAGCCTGCCTTTGGCCCTTTGCTCCAGCCCAGCCCTTCTGAGGGGATGGGGCCTGACAGACTCACAGCTGGGGGTGTGGCCGGCCTTCGGTGATCTGACTGATGATATTTGTTACGGTTCTGATACTGGATGTCATTCTTTTAGCACTTCGTCTATTTGTCTTTAGAGGTTGGTGGTAAAGGTTTTCATCATTGCCTTTGGTTAACCTCAAATAATGAAGTTAACAAGCACCAAACATGTTTGGAAGGATTTCAACCTCAATTAAGTGTGTACTGTAGCATGATTTGATTTGTGGGAGAGGCATAATAAGGAGTTCAGAATAAATCATATCTAACATGAAGCCAGGGACTAAACATAGATGTGTAACAACATGGAATGTGTAGTTGCCCACCGAGGAACACGACTATCTCTGCAAATTCTTGCAGGCTGCTTGTGCTGGTTGACTCACTAGATGTTCATGGATATCCTCCAAATATTTTTCCTATCAAACCATGAAGTGGGAATCACTGTTTGGGTCCCCCCACCCCATCACCACCATTTGCTAAGAAAATTGTTATAAGGTACTGCTGGCTTTTCCTGGATAAAAAAGTGCTGCCTCAATGCAAAAAAAATAAGTGCCCCATTGAGCATAACCTCATTTCCACCTGGGCCTGGGGAAACACACTGATCTGAAACCCACTAGTTAGAGAGAGGTGTGTCTATTCTAGTCATCCTGTTCACACACCAAGTTGTTTCTTTACGTCTCCCTCCTCCACCATGAGTATCCATACAACATTCATCAGAGGGGAAGGCTGTGGGAAGGAAACTCCTAAGAAAGAAATAAGAAATAAGACACCCACACAAGAAGCAGGTGAATGGCCAACGGCACCTTTTGATCGCTGTCGCAACCTATTTATTTCCTTTAAGGTTATACAATCAATCATTGTCGCTAAGTGCAGTTACTAAAATGAGTGAATTACATAAAACATCATTAATCAATTTTTGCCCCGTTACCAAGGCATTACTAATCAACTTTGCCCCGTTGCTCTAACTACTAATATTAACTTGCCCCAGTGCCCTAGCTATTAATATCAACTTGCCCCATTGCTCTAACTACTAATATTAACTTGCCCCGTTGCCCTAGCTATTAATATCAACTTGGCCCATTTCCTAGACTATTATAAACTTGCCCCATTTCCCAGACTACCCTCGACCATAATTGGTTCCATTTCCCCAGTAACTGCCAACATACCTGAGAGGGACATTCAGAGGTCACAGTGGCCACGCACCCGGAACCAGCAGTTTTCTGCGGCATCTACAGGTACGCCCCCACAGAGGGCAAACTCACATAGCTATTGAAGAGTTTATTTCTTTCCTCCAGTTAGTTCCACTGAATGCCCTAGCGTTTTTGGAGAGGTCATAACTAAGTCAGCATTCTTTTAGGCCTTTCTATTGCATATGCAACAAATATCTATTGAATAGTTGATGCTGTCTTAAACAATTTTAGTTCTTGGTTATTGTCAATTTTTTATTTATTTCTAAGATATATATTGAAGTTTTGCTATTCAATGTTCACTTCTTGGCAGTCTCTATCTTACCTTCTCTTTATTCCTTTCCTCTTATTTGATGGATTATCACTTTTGCCAATTTTCAATGAGTTTTCTGCTCCTCTGTATATTCTTACTGGGGATGAGAGATGGTTTTCTTAAATTTCCTTCGATTATTATATTAAACTAGAGGCCTGGTGCATGGATTCATGCACATTGAAAGGAAATTAATTAGAAGAAATATTTTAGAGGCCAGGGAGGGACATGGGAGATTGGCCGGCCGGGGTGGGACTGCTGGAGGTTGGCTCCAGGGTGGGTCTGGCTCATCTCACCCAATCCCAATCTGCAGGACCCCAGCAGCAAGCTAACCTACTGGGTTGGAGCGTCTGCCCCCTGGTGGTCAGTGCATATCATAGCGACTGGTTGAATGAAGGATTGGACACTTAGTGTATTAGGCTTTTATTATACAGGATCATTTTCAAATTTTGGTTTATCCTGTATGTCTTTAGATTTAGGGTTTATTTTCTTTCTCTGGCATTTTTATGGGTCTGATGTTAGTAATTACCCCCTCCACCCCCTTTCTTATTTATAAAGAAGGAGAAATATGCCATATTCCAAAGACAACGTTTGTGGTTTTGCCTTTGACCTCATTCTTCAAATGGACAACTGAATAGCACGTTAACATGCATAGCTTCTAGACCCATTCTCAAACTCTAGCTGAGAAATCTCAAATGCTCCTGTTAGATTGACACTTCATCACATCTCATCCTGCCTCCTAACACTGACCCTGATGGAGATCCTAAAGGGCTATAATCCCAAGTACACACTGTTCCTGGGACTACTTTTGGGATGCCATCCTACCTGTTGTAATTTACTTTGGGGGTTTGCACCTTCCATGCATTTTTTTCTGGAAATTCCCACCTATGACTGGATATAGAAAAAAGAGTGATGGCGGGGTAAAGAGTGGACAGAGGATGGCACCAGGCCTCAAAGAGCATCACCCACATAGGGAGATAGCCTGGGTTATCCAATCAATACATAGCTTGCATCTCTGAGCCAGGGATTGAAGACTGAGAAGGGGCAGGGCTTCTTTCCTACCTCTATCCACTCTTCCGGTGAGAGGGGGACGCTAGCTCTGTTTCTGGTGGTCACAGCCCAAGGAATCATGGATTGTGTTTTTAATACCATTTTGCCTTCTTCCACTTAATAGAAACTGGTCCTAGATGCTGAAAATAGGTTATTTAGTTCCAATTTGGGTAATGGAATGTTTGTATTTTTTTCTGTGTCTTTATAGGTATTTTGTTGAATTGTTGGGAGAGATTGAATCAGGTCCTCTAAGCCAGATGCCACATTAAACTCGACTTTCTCCCATTCCCCACTTCTTAAAAGTAAAAAGCCCTTTAGTTCAAAATATGGTTATGTTGATATCCTTGTAGATAACGCATCATGTACCTGACAGGAAAGAAAGGTCTATTCAGCTGGGACTAGTTCTCTAAGGGGGGGAGACTCTAATTGAGGAATAGATTTCCTGTAACAAAGTTTCTCATTGTCTGGGTAGACTGCATTGACAGAAAGACTACATTGATGAAACCATCTGATCTTTCAACCCATTCACCTATGTAGAGAGAGTCTGTAAATTATAATGATCTAATAGCAGAGCTTAGAAACACCTGAATGGAAAAGCCACACAATCCTGAGAGCAGATTGTGTTCTCCCTGCGCAGGGTCAGTCACTGTGGGATGCGGACCGATTTCCCTGTCTCCCCTGAGGATCAGCACTGCAGCTCACTTCAAGCGTGTGTGTTCAGGCCTCTATGACTTCATGACCAGGGGACACTTCTCATATGTGGGATGGGAGGAGGAGTACCTTCCTCTAGTCCCAGGCATGTTGACAGAGCTGAGTCTTCACTGCATGGGAGCAGAGTGTGGACAAATATTTGGCCCTGGGACAGGGCTTGGCCTCCCGCGCTTGAGCTGCTGAAGCCCAGCAGAGTCCTGCAGCCAAAACCGCAGTCCTAACAGCTTCTTTTACAAAAACCAAATTTTACAAGTGTCCGTCTCCCGGGCATTGGTGATTTCAGAATGCGTTCAATTGGGTGGAATCAAAAGATATGTGTGAGTGTGTTTGTTCCTGTTGCCCCACTTCTCTTTCACCCAAACGTTGGTCCTCTGTTGTTTTAGTGGAACAGCACAGCTAAGAAGCAGCATCAAATAAAAAGTAGACAATATTTTACATTTTATTTTTATTTTGCTGAGACCACAGACTGATTTTTAAATGCGTTAAAGTAATTAGGTTCTGGGGTTGTGCTAATGAGACATCGGTGGTCATCTGTCTGCTCACTGGTACTCCATCATCTACAAAACTCTCAGTAGAGAATTATGATTGACAGAATGCTAATTAGACCTTGTCAGGGTTGGCATTGAGATTGTGTGGCCAATAACTGAAACAATGTTCTCACGGAAATCATTTGTAGGACCAAGAACGTGTCTGCTTTATTCTGTGTGTGTGTGTGTGTTCAGAAGATATCACATACTCTTATTCAGAACCTGGGTGTCAACTTTATGAACTGCTTAGGAGATTTCCATTTCCTCATATTTTCCTGTCTTGTATCCATCTTCCTTCCTCCGTCCACACTGAGAATGAGAAAGAGAAGAGAAAACTCACAATCAAATCAGATTCTTAGGTGTAGTGAGGACTGTCTCATCAAGCACATTGTCCTCGAATGTCATTTAGCCTTCTACCATCTCCCTGGAGGATGAGGCCCGTACTGCCGGGATGGAAAATAAAGAGCCAAGAATCCTATCTGATCTGCGTTATTCGTTGACGCAACCAGGTTACTTCAGTTTGGTTTTGGAATTTTCCTTGACGTCATTTGCTTTTTTTAATTAAATTTTTTAATTTATTGATTTGAGAAAGAGAGGAAAGAAGAGAGAGAGAGAGAGAGAGAGAGAGAGAGAGAGAGAGAGACATTTATTTGTTATTCTACTTTTTTAATGCATTCATTGATTGATTCTTGTTATGTGCCCTGACTGGGGATCAAACCCACAACCTTGGTGTATCAGAACAGCCCTCTATCTAACAGATTGACATGGCCAGGGCTCATTGATATCATTTGAGTTTTTCTGGTGACACTTGGACTCTTGGTTGGTTTCAAATTCTTTAGGCCACGCTTGACCAACCATCCAAAGTCAGGGTTTTCTGTGGTAACAAACAACCTCAAAATCTCAGTCACTTACCACAGTAAACACTTAGTTCTCACTCACAGTTCCACTAGTCATTTGAAGAACTGTTGGTTTGACTGTGCTCAGCTGAAATTGCCTCCAGGCTACAGGTTGGGTTCATACCTGCTCCATATATCTGCTCATTCTATGATCCAGCCTGAAGGGGCAGCCACTATCTACAGCAGAAGATGAGGAGAATAAGAAAACTTTGCAGGCTATGCTCTGAACTGGCACACTGATATTTCCAGTACAGTCCATTGGTTAAAGCAATTACTTTATAAGGCCAAAACCAAGGTCAATAGGGTGGAGATGCTTACTCGAAAGTATAGGCAAGTCACATGAAAATAGACATTATCTTATTACAGGGAGAGAGCAGAACGTTGAAAACAATAATTCTGTCCCACCATACCAAACTTATAATGGTTTGAAAAAAAAATCACCATCATTCATACCTATTTTTACTAGATGTCCTCAGTTTGTAGGTAATATAATAATAATAGAGTACCTATCTCAATCATGGCCTCATTCAACTTAATTTTCCTCGAGAGCTAGAAAAGGGTTTTATTCCTCACCCCCAATCTCTCCATCAGATCATGTCTGCACACTAAAGGACATAGTCGTTAGATGACAGAAGATTTACTGTCTCCCTCCTCAATAGAGTGTGCAGTGGAAACAGCTCAGGATTTGTTTTCATACAGACATGAGTTTCCAGCCAACTCAGGAACTAATTAATTAGCTGAGAGTAACCTTGGGCAATTTATTAAGTTTCCTAAGTCTCTATTTCTCTAGCATGAGGGACATGGTACTTTCTTCACTGAATTATTCTGTTGATGAAATGAGATGACATACTCTCAGAAAGATTCATTTCCTTTCCCTTCTAAATATCATCTACCATCCAAGGTAAATTTTAAATCCCAGTGCCTTTCCTAAACCACCTTTAACTTCCTCTTGAATTAAATGAGCTCCTGCTCCTCTGAACTTCTATATTTCTTAAGAGAGAGATCCATAAACTTCTCTTGCATTCATGAATGGATTTCAGGAAGTTCATGGACCATCTCCTTCCCCTTTGGAATCAATGTGAAATTTTATTTGTATGAACCATGTGCAGATTTCTGTGGGGGGCGGGGGAGACTACAGAGCCTTCATCTGAGCTTTAAAGTTCTGCTGAGCCCAGAAGTTCTGAACCATTGATACTAGATGAACTGGGTAACTTGACCCTCATAATATAGCACCTTATGTGCGGGTGTTGCTTCATGCTATTAACCCTCTTTTCCTATCTTAATTATGAGCTTCGTGAGGGGAACAAAAATATCCTCCATGGCTAATATATTTTCTACAACTTGTAGCACAGGCCGAACCCTGGAGAGAATGCAATAAATATTTATTGATTTATTACCCAGGTAAGGGTTTAAAAAAATAGCACCACAACCAGCAAAGTGAATCCAAAAAGTTCAAATGTTTAACAACAGTGCTAAAAGCATGCAGAAAAAAAAGTAAGAAAAAAACTGTTGGTAGCAGAGTTTGTCTGTCTGTGGCTCATTCTATCATGTGAAACATTGCATTAGATGTGATTAAAACACATCTTCTTACTGATTAAAACCCGTCTCCTTCACTGCCTAAAAGAAATGTGGAATATTTCAGTGATTATGGGCGTGGCTACAGGTTATTGCTGGGAGAGGGATGCTGTAGGTGAGGTGACATGTTGACAGTATGTTGGATGTAACACAGTTCTGTCAGAGAACACTTAGCTGTCTTTGCAAAGGGGTTCCTGCTAATCTATAGGTTGATGATTTAGTCCAAATGTAATCTGAAGAAAAGGAAGAAGAAATAATTATAAATAAACTTGTTTGTGCTTTTTCTTTCTTGCTGAAGAAATAAAACAAATATAGGATTAAGATCATTAACCAGAACCATAAACACCACTCAGAGATATTTTTTTAGAAAGTGAATTTTTAGACATGAAGGAACCTTCAGCCCTTTAGCAGTACCAGGTAGACCTGAAGGAGAAAGGATATGAGGAAACTGCTCATGGAAGATGTAAGCATGTTGTCAAAAGTCAAAGAGCTCTTGCTGGTCCTATGGTTCCTTTTTATTGCTCAGAGCTTCCAAGATTCAAGTTTTTGATTCCCCACGATTTGCAAAATGATCTTAGGGGACACCATCTTCAAGTGCAGCATGGCCATAGAATTCTCAAGACACACTCTCTATATAAAAATTCACAAGCATACATTTTCACAAGTCAATCCTCTAACACTTTCAGAGGGCCAGATTCTGTATGCCTAGCAACAATTCTATTTTTTGTGTGTTTTATCCTCCTTCTCAGCTTCCTTGCTAGGCTTTAGGGAATTAGCAGGACTTACCACCAATTGGATTGCAGAGCTTTTTGGCCCACAGTAAGGCTTGCTATCATCAGGTATGTAAAATCTTGCCCAGTGTAGTCAGAAGTTAAAACCAAACCATCATAAACCTGCAGGACTTATGACCCTTAAAGCCCTGGGGGAGTTTCCTGGACGAGACCTCAATGGAACTTTGCCCAAAACCCCAAATGGGAAATATATATGAACTGATTCTGTGCAGTGTGAAGGCTGAGGCAGCAGCAGAACGCTTTTCTTGACTGATACAGTGATAGATTAGTACACATTTAATCTTAGGTTAGGGGGTTGGAGGAGTCAGTCTTCAGTTAATGTTAATAGTCCAGAGTTTGAGTTTAATGGTGAGGGGAATTTTTCTTTTGTGACACAATTATTCTATACTTAAGCCAATTAGAAAGTTGTTATATAAAGGAAGAGAAATGCCAATGGGATACCAGTGTGTATTGTAGCTGAGATTTGCTATGAGATTGTGGACTTCTAGTTTAACAGGGGTTTGAGGGGGGGAAAAGGAATCATGGGTAGTTTAGTAATTATTTAGTGACAAAACATAAATAAATTTCCACATTTTAAAGTATATAGAGATTGTTGACTTTAGTAAAATGTGCTTATATTCGAACTTATAGAACCAATGAATGGGGGGTTCATTTACATTACACTTGTGTGTGTGTGTGTGTGAGAGCGCGCACGCGCATGCTACGGTTTCCATAAAGAGTAAGTTTTCTGGTTACATTAAATACATATTTGATTTTTAACACCTAGTGGGTATATTGATTTTCTGAGTCAACTTATTGTGAAAAGCAAGATGTTTTGCAAAAGTATTAGAGCAAAAAGATGCCTGTTGGAAAATGCTTAGGATACAAACACAGTATTTTTGGCCATAGTTGATGCAGGAGATAGGACTTACAGGCTGTCTTGTGAAAACCTGAAGAAATAGACCACGTGGCTGATCCAGTCCTTCTGATGTCTGGTGGGTACACGTAATGAGGTATTTTGATCATGGAAATGATCTAGCTGCACACCCTACACAAAAATCCAGATGACATCACAGCTGTAGGGTTTATCCATCTTTGTTAGATTCCGTATCAGATTCTGCATTCCATCAGGGCTTAAGCAAAAAACAAAAGCAAAAAAAAATTAATTACAAGTTCCTGAACGAGTCTCAGAAACCTCCTTTAGATAAAAGATTTGTCTCTGACAATGGAGAGTTCCTTGCAGTTTGATATGTCTGAGACACCCAACACACCTTGACTTCTAGATGTTTTTGGTTTTCTGACCTATCAGAGGCTCTAAATATCAGCAGCTGTAGCTGAAGATTTCTACATCCTATTTCCCATACCAATAGGAAATCAATATATTTACATAGATAGTGGTTCTGCCAGAACTAGAAGCAATGAACATTTCTCCCTGAAGTATTAGGGGAAGCGCCTAAATAGAGGGCAGTTTGCTGCCTCAAGGTCTATGTAATTTTTTTTCTGAGACTTTTCTTCTCATCTCTCAGAAATGCTGTGGAGGGCATTAAGAGGAAAGGAGTAAGAAAAAACCAATGAGTGTTTGGAACTGTGCTGTCCTTGAGGTGGAAATGAGATCAGAGTGCAGACCCAGATTTCAGCTACTCCTGGTGCTGTACAAGATCTCCAGTTGTTTGGGATACTTCTCCCTTTAAAAATTTGGTACAATTGGTTTGAACCCCATGAAATATACAGTGGTGCATCTGGTGTTCTTGGTGATGATGATAAATGGTGACAATGGTGGTTATGGTAAGGAGGAGGGTGTGTGTGTGTGTGTGTGTGTGTGTGTGTGTGTGTGTACGTGCACCCATGGTGGTCATGATAGTGAGGCTTTCTGTTAGTGAGCTTTGACTCTGAATTCTTACTTGCGATGAAGTCTTTAGGCCATCCTGGACTTTCCCTCCTGTTCCTTTCCAGCATCATATCATCCACTGGGTATGACCCTAATCCCTTTTTATTTAAAGTATACAGACTCAAAACTGTATGGCAGTCTTCACTGAAGTTTGGGACTAGGATTGTGCAATGTGAAATCTAAATGGGAACTTGACATGTTTCTTCTAAGGTATCGTGTCGATTCCTGATACTGGGAATTTTTCTCCCGTGTTGCCGTCTCCAACTCATTCATTGTTCTTCCCTCTCCTCTCCAGCTCATGTACCTCTTACACCGTTCCCCCCAAATTCCTATTTATTTTCATACAGACATCAGCTTAGCTCACTCTATACCTCAATTCATATCCATTTCAGTTTGCTTGTAACTGTTTCCCCAAATAAACAAAGATGCCTAAACAAAGATGGTTCATACCCTCAAAGGAATTCTATTACTTAGCAAGAATTAAATAACTATGTTCAATGAATTCTCACTTCACTTCAGTGCTGCAATACATACCTATCACTCAATAAAAGCACCTTTTGAGCACTTTAAACTCTTATTCACTCCCTCTGTGGGCATGTAAGAGCCCTTTTTCATTGAACCAGACCAGCCTTGGTGGTGGAATTATGGAGGCCCTGGGATTTCTTCTCTGCCAACTCACCCCCTTCTGTGCTAAAGGATAGAATTGGGAAGAATACATAGGCCCTTCTTTTCAACTCTTTTCCTAAAATCTTCTTATGGCTCCAAGAGACTCCGCTGCCCTTATAGTTTCCTGTTCCTTCTGCTTTGTCACGTCCAAAACTGGAGGCCCAGTACCCTGCTGAGAACTGCCGCTGCTTTCATCCGGATTGGGGTTGACGTCTGTCTGCAGTGGACCATCTCCAGTCATGACCTCTATTAGAGCAGCAGGAAAGATGTGAAAGATAGCTTCCATCCATCCCAGATACCTCTACTTTCACAGAGGATGGGATTTAAGTGGCTGTTCCTAAGTCCTTCATGATTAAGGGTGTACTTAAACTTTAAAACCAGGCATGTTATGTTCTTTTGTGCTAATGTGTGCTCTATTGGGCATCTTTTTGAAAAAGTAAACCAGTTTTACTCCTCTGGAAATTCTATTGCAGCATGACCATCCTCTACTTACGCCCCATCTCACCTGACCCCAGGACCTCTGCAAGTGATGTCAGCCATACCTTAGCAGTACAGTATTCACACGGACAGCCTTTTCAACACTTACTCTGACGTAGTGCAGACTTGAATAGGCCTGGAAACAATGGAACTGTAGGAAACATTGAGACAAAAAGGTTTATGCAGCAGAATTCATAGCTAAATGCTCTAACACCCTCATGGTCTTTTTATGAATTAATATTAGGCTAATAGGCTTTCCATATTAAGGCTAACTATTCCATTTCATCAATCACTTTTCCTTGTCTTTTGCTGGTTATTCTCCTTTGCTCAGGCCCAGAAGCATACACTTGGCATGATTTGCTCTGTGCCCTTCAAAAATGTTCCTACTGATGAATGATTCATCCTACAAATCTGTGGTCATCTGACATCTTCTTGCCACTTTGATATAAATTTTTTTAACTTTTGAATTTGTTCTGTTGTCATTTTTACCTCTTATTAATGGCGCTTTCAAAGTTCTCAGTGCCTTTGTACTCATCAAAAATTAAGCACTTGTCAGAAATAATAGAAATAGAAACAACCACAGTGTAGAAAACTGACAAACCAAAGGATGGTTGAGCCTAAAAGGACCAACATGACCAATAACAGCACCTGTGGTGGCAGGCAGAGTCCACAGTCTTTTGCTGTGGGCAATCACTTTATGAATTTGAAAGTACAGAAGTTGAAAGTTGGTACGTAGATGATGTCTTTCTTGCTAAAGAAGGGTTCATGCTAGTTTTTCCAGAGGCTCGGTCATGGTGCAGTATCTGCCTGTGAGACATAATTTCCATTCCCAATTGAATCTCTATTCCATGATGTGCTTAACAATCCTATGCCTTGGTACAGCTACTCTGTTTCTCAGGAACTTCCCTCTCAGGGGCTGGCAAAGATTTACTACTCTGCCTTTCTTTGTTCAAGGGTGGGGAATGGGGTCTGGACAGTGTTGCACAGTGGTTAGAGCATCAGCATGCACACCAAAGGAATGCTAGTTAGATTCTTGGTCAGTGTCATGTACCTGAGTCGAGGCAACCAATCGATGTCTCTCCCACATTGATGTATTGATGTCTCTCTCTCTCTCTCTCTCTCTCTCTCTCTCCCCCCCTCTCTCTTCCCTCTGTCCCTTCCTTCCACTTTCTCTAAAAATCAATGAAAAAAAATATCCTCAGGTGAGGATTAACAACAACAACAAAAAGAATGGGGAGCAGGGTTGACATGAGCATTATCAATATTTCTCCTGAAGTTCCTGTTCTGCTCCTATTTTTCCAGGAGGTAGAAATGTCTCATGTACACAATTTTTTTGTTTGTCAAACTCTGTATTCCAGAGTTCCCAGGAAAAATTTACAGATTAAGTCCTTCATCATGAACCTTGCTAAAGAGATAGGAATTAATATTAGGACTTGTAAAGAAAGTTTTCCCTCTGTTCTCCCCAGTGTTGAAATATATCCTGATGATTCAGTGAAAACTTTGCTATTCCACTGCCTCTCTGTGGCAGGGTAACCAGAGAGGGTGGGAGGAGAGGAGCTAGTTGTGGTACCCAGGCCAAAGCTTGGCTTGAACTGCTTGATATACTCAAAGACCTCAAAAGAGCCATGCTCCACTAATTTTATAGCATTTTGCCCTATAACTTAACCCAAAAGATGCCAAGACTTTATAAAAAATGGTTACCTGGGAAACCAAGAATAAACCCAAAGTATGAAATCATTTTTCAGAATGTCCCTAGCCTACTCCTTCTAACTCTCAGTGAACACTTTTTGGACAGGCTCTCTGTTGCCAAGGAGGAGGCCTGAAACGGCTTCATATACAGATAAGAGGTCAAACTGCAGAGGCGTAGGGCCTTGCTTTGAACACCATCAGAATGCTCATTTAGCTTGAATTCATACCAAATAAAGCACAAACCTCTGCCTATCTCTCCTGTGTACTTTTAGTTTGAAGTCTACTAACATTCTTTCTTGCTCAGTTTTAATAGTGGCACATGTTCATCTGTTAGACCCGGCTGGTTCTAGGAATTACTGCACAGCATCACCTCATTAAAACACAAGCAAGCAAGAAAGAATAAGATGTTTGCTGTCATGATCATGGTTAATGTTTTTATGGTGTATTTCCCCCATCCTTTTACATTAAGATTTATCTTTCTCGTGGACAGTACATAGTTGCTCTTTCTTTTTGTTAATTATAAAAATCTTTGCTTTTGTTGTAATTTACATCCTTCACAATTAAGATGATTATTGATCTGGTTGGTTTTAAGTCAACCATCTTGTGATTTTTTTAAATATTCATCATATCTCTTTGTTTCTTATTTTCCTTTTTTGCATTAACTGAGAATTTTAAAAATTAAATTTATTGGGGTAACCTTGGTTAATAATATTATATAAATTCATGATTTTATTTTATGGCTGCTGTTGCTTTAAAGCTTATTGATTTAGTTTTTAGTGGTTGCTATAGGCTTACAGTTTTCATCTTTAAATTTTTTTCCTTCACAAGGAAATTCCTCTAATAAATTATGTAATGCAGATTGATTGGGTTGAAATAAATTCTCTCAGAATTTTTGTTTCTCTGAAAAAGCCTTGATTTTTTTCTTCATTTCTGAAAGATATTTTTGCTGGATTTAGATTTTTAGATTGATAGGGGTTTCCCCTCCTCACCCGTTTTAACACTTTAAAGACATTGCTCTATTGTTTCCTGGATCACATACTTACTTACCCTTGATTTCTTACCCTTGTTCACGTAAGGGATATGTCTAGAGAAATTTAATTGTCATCTGCCTTGATGAGGTTTTTTGTTTGTGGGTTTTTCATATATATCCTTCTTTGAGTCCACTGAGTTTTGTATATCTTCAAATTCAGAAATTTTCAGCCATTATTTCCTCTAACATTTGTATTCTGTCATTCTTCTTCCTCCTTCTGGAACTTCAAATACGCATATGTTAGACCACTTGCTCTTGTCTCACAGACCACTGAGATACATTCTTTTTTTTTAAAATATATTTTATTGATTTTTTACAGAGAGGAAGGGAGAGAGACTTCTTCAATTTCACTAATTTTTTTCCCCTTTGGAGTGTCTAATGCTTTCCAATTTAGATATCATGTTGTTGTTGTTTTAATTCTCAAAGTTTTACTTTTATATCTCTCACATTTTCACTATGTTCATGTGTTTTGTTAAATATTTGAATGTAGTTAAAATAGCTTTTTAATGTTTCTGCAATTACATCATCTCTATCATGTGTTGGTCTGTTGCTATTGAAAATGTTTAATCTTGATTATGGATCACTTTTTCCTGCTTCTTGAGATGTCTAATAATTTTTTGTTCTATGGTGGACTTTGTGAATATTGTATCATAAAGTATTTGGATTTAGTTGTCCTTTAAAGAGTGTTGGTCTTTCTTCTGGTGTTTAGTTTAGCTTAATGTTCGTGTGTGTGTGTGTGTGTGTGTGTGTGTGTGTGTGTGTTAATCCTCACCCAAGGATATTTTTCCCATTGAGTTTTAAAGAGAGTGGAAGGGAGGGGGAGAGACACAGAGAGAGAGAAACATTGATGTGAGAGAGACACATTGATTGGTTGCCTCCCACACTCACTCTGACCAGGGCTAGGGATTGAAGCTGCAACCGAGGTACATGCCCTTGACAGAAATCAAACCCGGTATCCTTCAGTCTGTGGGCTGGTGCTCTATATACTGAGCCAAACCAGCTAGGGCAGTTTAACCCTTTTCGGTCCAACCTCTAGGCTGACTCGACAGACCAGGCACTAGGAGCAGGTCCAACGTCGAGCAATAAGAACCTTAAAAAGTTCAACATTCAATCCCGTCAATTAATTTGGACCAGACTGTTTGAATTCCAAAAATAACATTGGACTGCAAAGGGTTAATGTTCATTTTGATCCTCCTTAGACTTTAAAAAACTTTCCTTAGTGTGGTTTCAGAGTGGTTATACTTTAGGAATATTTTAGTCCCCCTCCTAAGGTGTAACCTTTCTTGGTTTGTACTGAACACCTGAAGTGATCAACAAGACTCCACCTTGTCTGGTGAGAATCAGAACCCCTCCAAGCCCCGTGTGAGCTCCATGAACCCTTCAGTCCACAGCTTCTGAGGCCCTGCTTGCCGAGACTCCTGAATTTTTGCCCTACGCGTGCAGAGCTTAGTATTCAGCTAAGACTCTAAGGGACTCTGAAGCTATTTTTCTGCATAGGTTCTCGCTCCCAGAACTTACTCTGTGCCTTCCAGTCGCTTCAGTCTCCCAGAAATCTAATCTCTCTCCTTAACTGAGCAAGGCTGCCATGCTCTGCTGGGGACCTCTACCCTCCTCTGTGGTCTGCAACAAGCCTTCAGGCAGAAAGCAAGCATGATCCTGAGAATCATCTCTTATTTCCTTTCTCTCAGGGATTAGAACCTTTCTGTACACATTGGCCAATGACTGAAAATAGCTATTTCACTCCTCCACTCTAGTTTCCTAGTTTTCTATTTGGGGAAGATAATTGAATCTTTGATACGCTTCATGGCTGGAAAAAGACCTCAAGTAAGTCTTTTTACACTTACTTTGAATCAGGACCTAAAGGAGGTTCACATATCACATTTAGAGGTTTCATCTCTAAAAATCACTTTTGTTCGGTAACTCATCCCCTCTCCTTTTTTCCCCATGCCATTGATTTCTTAGACAAATTTAATAAGTTGTACTTGAAATTCTGATTTGCCTGATATCTTCCTTGTCCTTCTGTTCCTGGGGAACTGTAGTTAGATATTAGAAATTCAGTGATCCACGTGAAATCTTTTTAGGCAATAATATTTCATAGGTTCTGTTTACACTCCCAATGCATGACATCATGAGATAAATAATGTCTGGCTTTCCCCTTTCAGTAATGCAAAGATTGATTGAGTTCAGGTATGACCATTCCAATCCGCATTATGCATTTCGTCAATCAGAAAGCTCCCATTTAACTACTATTGGCATTTATTAATGATATTTGACATTACTTCATTGGGATTTTAAATCAAAATGTGTTAATTTTATCATTTGTCCTGCATTTAGTTAGCTAGAATTCTACTTTATATTTATGAAATTTGTACACTGTTCTGCCATTTTAAAGAACATCAAGTCGGCGTTTGGGAAGG